ACAGTGCTACTACGAGGGTTAGCGAAGAGATCGCCTCTGCTTTGGGTGATGGACAATCAAGCATTGCAAATAATTTTGAGGTACATCCTGAGACGTTTGACACTTTGATCGACATAAACCTCCTTTTTGCTTGGACAACTTTTGTCATGGGAGATCCATGCAGACCAGGTGTTTGATGAAAGTTCTCACCAACTTGAAGGCTCAAGTCCATGAATTTGACATGGCTTTGGACTTGGTAGCGGATAATTTAGTGGGGTTGCAAATTCCTTTGCAGGCCACGAGATCTGTTGAGCCGCCCCTGGTCGAGGAAGGTGAATGTCTCGAAACTAAAACAGACATAGTGTTTGATGGAAGTCTCCAGCGAAATGAGTTCGACCTACAATGCCAATTTGCAAATTTGCAGCTTGTTGTGACAGACAAAAAAAATTTCTCATGAGATTTTGAGTTCTGATTTTGATGAACCAATATGAGTTGATGGATACGTCTCCCTTATCCCTCATGATGACGTTGCTGCGATTGCTGAGTTTTTTTCAATTTGTATTCAATCACTCGTGATTGGCCGATTTTGGGGACCTAGCAATGTGTGAGAGTGTGACAGATGGCTTACCCACTTGTCATTGGTTTGACACTGGGCAGCATGTTTCTCCGTTTATTCCATTCGTGTTCAGGCTTACGAAGTATGGCCATCATGTATCTGCAACAGAATTTGATAAGAATGGTTATCGTCCTATTATTGGGGCTCAAGGTAGCAGCATCCTAATTTTTGCCATTAGGTGCTCAAGTTACTATAGCAACGGGGATAACTCAAAAATAGCTTGGGAAGGGGCTTCTCACAATTGGTTTCTCAAGATGTCGCGCTACATCCTAGCTATGGAATCAGGCAATTCAAAGATGAACCAACTATTCGACGCAATGTCGGATAAAGCTTGCAAGGTATTCAATGTTATGTCCACATCGTTACTGGTTAGGGTGCTCGCTGAAACACCCAAAGAAACGGGTACTATTCAGCAATTTCACTTTAAAGACAGAGAATGTTTACTGATTTCTTTTGGTGGTCAAGAATCTATAGTGTCGGCTGCACATTCCACACACGCCCTACCAAGGAGGTATTTTGATGTCAACTCTCTTTATAGTGTCTTGTCTAGACAGAAAATTGATTTGGTGGCATCTAACAACATATATGTTGACATAATTCTCATGAAGTCCACAATACTTGATGATGTTTCAAAGAGAGAAATACAATCGAATGATGTGAGGAATGATGTTAAACATGTAAAATTTAATGAGGGAATAAGACATGATGAAAGTCTCTTTCCAGTCGATCCCGGTGAGAATCTGTTCATGGTTAAACTTGGTGGAATGGTGAAGGTTAATTGTGTATGGGATCCAGGAATCAGTTCCAAAATTATGCACCGAAATGGTCTTATGGAAACCATTGGCACACACCTATTGCTGGAATTTATTGTTACTATTTCTCTACTTCTTAATTACTTTTATGATGCTCACTTGAAAGGTAATACTCAATCTACAAAAAGGAGGTAGATGACAGCAAAAGGACTCTCTGTATTTCCTTATTTTTGGCTGAGTTTGTCACAGGACAATGGATGGCAAGTTTTAGTTGATGTATGTGCGTTGGGAGCTAAGAACATGCCTACGTTGAGTGTAAAACCTTCATCCTAAATAGAACCACTTGGTGCATGGGGTGATAAAAATTTAGGCCCCTGTGCATGGGGTGATAAAAATTTAACTGTTGCAGGGATAATGGAGCATCAAAATGTGTCAACAGACCAATGTGCATATTGGTGTTTGAGAATGATATATATTTCTACTGATGAGATCTCATATTGGGCTGATACTATTGTTTGTCCAATGAACAATATTAATTGCATGCGTGCTTTCAAGTGCATCTCTGTTACAGGTATGGAGACTTGTAAATTGGTTCAAGGTTGTTCAACCTATTGAGTTACATATATAGAAATCACTCTTCACAAGACTAGATGAAAGCTAAACACCATAAAATGTTGAAGATCTAAAACACACACTGAAGAAAAAAGTTTAACAATTTTCAATATAGGTTAACTAAACTACAACTATTTTTAAAAGTTTGACGCATAAGCAGAGGAGCACCATACTGTGGATGAATAGTCACTACTTCAACTGGAGCATGTGTATATGATGGAGAGAGTTCGAAGGTGAACTTTTGTAGTATCATTGCTATTGCCATTTTTGCTTCCATCATTGCAAAGTTTTGTCCAATGCAAATTCGGGGACCCCAACCAAATGGAATAAACGAGACTTGTCCATTTGTTGCCTTTGACACTCCTTCACTGAATCTTTCAGGTTTGAATTCCTTCGCCTCTTCACCCCATAATTCCTTGTTATAATGTACTAAGATTGCGGGTATAACGAGTAGTACTTCAGCTGGTAGACTCAGCTCACCCAATTTAACTTCATCTTTGTTCCTTCTACCATATATCAGTGCTGGGGGGAATAGCCTTAACGTCTCGTACAAGATCATTGTCACCTAAGGAAAACAAACATGTATTACATAAGTTGGCAGTAGAATTAGTGCACTAATGAGAGAAATTGTGAAAAGTACTTACAATTTTTAGACGACTAAGTCCTTCAAAATCTGGTTTTTCATTTCCGAATACATTCAAAACCGCCTCTCTGGCACGTACTTGCCACTCTCGATGTAGGCACAGTAATATCATCAAAATAGAATAACTTGCACTCTTCGATTACTTCTGTTATTGTCAATCCGAAATCTTTGCTTCCGTGTTGTTCAATTTCTTTCGTATTGGATTCAAGTAATATGCCTAATAAATCTTCATTATTAGTCTCCCCTGCTTGCATCGCCATCAATCTTTTGTCAATGATACACCTAATTGTCGTTTGAATTTCCTTTTCGATTTCCAGCATTCTTTTCTTCTTCTTACTAGGGAAGAACCTAAAAATAAAATTTTAAGTAAATTTCTATGCTATGAACTATGAAGTAGAAATTTGCTCGAATGCATTAATATTGTACGTACCTCGACCCTGGTATATAAATCGAAAAAACTTGTTCCATTACATACTCAGCTTGTTCTTTCTGAAGTTCAAATACTATTCTCCCTTCTTCATAGCTACTCCCAAATGCAGTTCGAGAAATGACTTCACCGGTCATTAGTTGAAAGTGTGGCCATACATCGAGCTCGACTGATGTTTCCTTTGGAACAGCCTCCTCCCATTTGCTTAGCATTTCACTACAACTCTGATAAAATGCTAGAACCATATGCTGTTACTTAGACAGGTTAATCACTCATGATCACTATACTAGCTATACGCAAAAAGAAAAAAATAGTAATATGTATAACCTTTAGTTTCTCAAAATGGAAGGCGGGATTGATGATTTTTCTATATTTAGCCCATTTCTGTTCCTCAAGGGTAACGAGACCTCGAACCAATAACTTCGCGAATGGATTAGAATGCTTATTCTTGTTATACACATAATGTTTTTCAAAAATTATCTTTATAAGTGAAGGTTCTGTGATGAATACTATAGGCTTGGGGCCTAGCCAGGCAAAAGAATTTTTACCTGCAGAGTATTTAGCAGTTTTGTGTTAGTAAAAAAAGCAGGGCTTATACTAAACCTAAATCAAACTCTATATCGAGTATCCAGAATCCATAAACTCAAAATCTTAGCTCCATCCTGGGTACAAACGTTTTACAAGAAGAACTATACTATGCCACAATACTTCAACTAGAGGAGCGACCAGTTGGTTCACCAAACCCCAACCTAGCGTCACATGTTCTCTTCAAATACAAGGAGATCTAGAGACAAACTACCGACTCCTCCAAAAATTACATTATTAAGCGAAAAATAATTGTTAGTGGACCACCACCACTTTTTAACAATTGCATGAAGTCGAAGACATAATTCCGTAGATAAAAGTTTGCTCCCTTTAATAGTTTGCATGATCACACATTTAAACATGATATCAGATCAGGAAAAGCAAAGATTGGATTCATGTCTTATATAAAAAAAAATATATGTGATTGGTCCATGAAAAGAATATGATTATGCAGACATGATATCAGATCAGGCAAGGAAGAAAAATAAGTAATAAAAAAAAAAATTAAAAACTAGATTGTTGTAGTTACCATTTTGTTGATGGAGTCACAGAAAAAAGGGATGAGCCTTTGAGGTACATCATCAGAGAAATTGATAGGCTTAGATTTGGCTTCATTGAGTTTATTTGTAAGCTCTTTCAAATCTCCATAGAGTAATTTGTATGGATTTCCCTTAAGACCACTCTTTCTTAAGTATTTCTCAAGTTTTTTTGGGCTTCGTCCTATACTCATATACAAACATTTATGCCTTTGGTTTTCTATAGACACTTTTTCTTTTGAATTTTCTATAAAAAAATTTTAAATATTTGCTTTATGTTATATCATGTATTCAGAATAGTAAATCAGAAATACTGAGTCCACATAATTCACTATGTGTTCTTAAGAAATTTAATCCACTCAATGTACCCGAGGTTGTGGATTATTGCCTCCCAGGATAAAATGGATATACCTATTAAAAAAGTAGTGGTACCTCACACTTCAATAACTTCAGCAAACTCAAAAGTCAGCAACGAAATCATCATACATATTAAAGAAGTAGTGATACCTCACACTTTAGCAACAAAATCATACATATTAAAGAAGTAGTGGTACCTCACACTTTAATAATTTCAGCGAACTCAAAAGACAGCAACGAAATCACACAATGACTCTACTTTAAGGAGAAAATTCCAACAAAATACTTGGTTTGTAAGAAAATACGTGTATGCAGAAGAAGGAAAAAAATTGATATGATGGTGCGGTGTGAACTCACATGTTCAGAATAGGCATGTCGATGCCGAGGCCGAGCGAGCGACGATGATGCGAGGGCACCCTCTCCTTAGCCCTTTAAGGGGTAAAGGAAGTGTTTCACTAAACATAAATTCGATTGCTAAGAAAAAAAATTAAAATCAATCAAAAGCTAAATAACCTTGATAACATTAACAAAACTGCAGTTAATGTTTTAAATTCGAAGCATGACTTCCGCGATCACCCAACAATTTAGTATCGATCATTTGAATGATGCATGTAGATCAACGTACAACGCAAATGACGTACATATCATCTTAAAGTTTGCGCATAAGCAGAGGAGCACCATACTGAGGATGAATAGACACTACTGCAACTGGAGCATGTGTATATGATGGTGAGAGTTCAAAGGAGAACTTTTGTAGTATCATTGTTATTGCCATCTTTGCTTCCATCATTGCAAAGTTTTGTCCAATGCAAATTCGGGGTCCCCAACCAAATGGAATAAACGAGACTTGTCCATTTGTTGCCTTTGACACTCCTTCACTGAATCTTTCAGGTTTGAATTCCTTCGCGTCTTCACCCCATAATTCCTTGTTATAATGTACTAAGATTGCGGGTATAACGAGTAGTACTTCAGCTGGCAGACTCAGCTCACCCAATTTGACTTCATCTTTGTTCCTTCTACCATATATCGGTGCTGGGGGGAACAACCTTAACGTCTCGTACAAGATCATTGTCACCTAAGGAAAACAAACATGTATTGCATAAGTTGACAGTAGAATTATTTCACTTATGAGAAATTCTGAAAACTACTTACAATTTTGAGACGACTTAGTCCTTCAAAATCTGGTTTTTCATTTCCGAATACATTCAAAACCTCCTCTCTTGCACGTACTTGCCACTCTGGATGTAGGCATAGTAATATCGTTGTCCATACGAGCAACACTGAAGTGGTATCTTGTCCAGCAAAATAGAATAACTTGCACTCTTCAATCACTTCTATTGTTGTCAATCCGAAATCTTTGCTTCCGTGTTGTTCAATTTCTTTCGTATTGGATTCAAGTAATATGCCTAATAAATCTTCATTATTAGTCTCCCCTGCTTGCATCGCCATCAATCTTTTGTCAATGATACGCCTAATTGTCGTTTGAATTTCCTTTTCGATTTCCAGCATTCTTTTCTTCTTCTTACTAGGCAAGAACCTTATAACAAAAATCCAAGTAAATTCTCTATGCTATGAAGTAGAAATTTGATCAAATACTTTAAAATTGTACGTACCTCGATCCTGGTATATAAATCGAAAAAACTTGTTCCATTACATACTCAGCTTGTTCTTTTTGCAGTTCAAATACTTTTCTTCCTTCTTCATAACTACTCCCAAATGCAATTCGAGAAATGACTTCACCTATCATTAGTTGAAAATGTGGCCATACATCGAGCTCGACTGATGTTTCCTTTGGAACAGCCTCCTCCCATTTGCTTAGCATTTCACTACAACTCTGATAAAATGCTAGAACCATATGCTGTTACTTAGACAGGTTAATCACTCATGATCACTATACTAGCTATACGCAAAAAGAAAAAAATAGTAATATGTATAACCTTTAGTTTCTCAAAATGGAAGGCGGGATTGATGATTTTTCTATATTTAGCCCATTTCTGTTCCTCAAGGGTAACGAGACCTCGAACCAATAACTTCGCGAATGGATTAGAATGCTTATTCTTGTTATACACATAATGTTTTTCAAAAATTATCTTTATAAGTGAAGGTTCTGTGATGAATACTATAGGCTTGGGGCCTAGCCAGGCAAAAGAATTTTTACCTGCAGAGTATTTATCAGTTTTGTGTTAGTAAAAAAAGCAAAGCTTATACTAAAATAGATTGTAAGTGATATATCGCCTACGGGTTCAACAAAACTAGTACTAGTTTTAGTTCAAACTCTATATCAGACTCAGCTCACCCAATTTGACTTCATCTTTGTTCCTTCTACCATATATCGGTGCTGGGGGGAACAACCTTAACGTCTCGTACAAGATCATTGTCACCTAAGGAAAACAAACATGTATTGCATAAGTTGACAGTAGAATTATTTCACTTATGAGAAATTCTGAAAACTACTTACAATTTTGAGACGACTTAGTCCTTCAAAATCTGGTTTTTCATTTCCGAATACATTCAAAACCTCCTCTCTTGCACGTACTTGCCACTCTGGATGTAGGCATAGTAATATCGTTGTCCATACGAGCAACACTGAAGTGGTATCTTGTCCAGCAAAATAGAATAACTTGCACTCTTCAATCACTTCTATTGTTGTCAATCCGAAATCTTTGCTTCCGTGTTGTTCAATTTCTTTCGTATTGGATTCAAGTAATATGCCTAATAAATCTTCATTATTAGTCTCCCCTGCTTGCATCGCCATCAATCTTTTGTCAATGATACACCTAATTGTCGTTTGAATTTCCTTTTCGATTTCCAGCATTCTTTTCTTCTTCTTACTAGGCAAGAACCTTATAACAAAAATCCAAGTAAATTCTCTATGCTATGAAGTAGAAATTTGATCAAATACTTTAAAATTGTACGTACCTCGATCCTGGTATATAAATCGAAAAAACTTGTTCCATTACATACTCAGCTTGTTCTTTCTGAAGTTCAAATACTATTCTCCCTTCTTCATAGCTACTCCCAAATGCAGTTCGAGAAATGACTTCACCGGTCATTAGTTGAAAGTGTGGCCATACATCGAGCTCGACTGATGTTTCCTTTGGAACAGCCTCCTCCCATTTGCTTAGCATTTCACTACAACTCTGATAAAATGCTGGAACCATATGCTGTTATGTAGACGGGTTAATTTCACTCATGATCACTAAGGTCAGTCTATTTACGAGCTATACACAAAAACAAATATTATAATAGTATATATAACCTTTAGTTTCTCAAAATGGAAGGCGGGATTGATGATTTTTCTATATTTAGCCCATTTCTGTTCCTCAAGGGTAACGAGACCTCGAACCAATAACTTCGCGAATGGATTAGAATGCTTATTCTTGTTATACACATAATGTTTTTCAAAAATTATCTTTATAAGTGAAGGTTCTGTGATGAATACTATAGGCTTGGGGCCTAGCCAGGCAAAAGAATTTTTACCTGCAGAGTATTTATCAGTTTTGTGTTAGTAAAAAAAGCAAAGCTTATACTAAAATAGATTGTAAGTGATATATCGCCTACGGGTTCAACAAAACTAGTACTAGTTTTAGTTCAAACTCTATATTTGTGTTTAAAAATCTATTTAATACGTAGAGATATATAATTCATCAAGAACTCAATAAGCTGCTTTTTCAAGAATCCAGAATTCATAAACTCAATTATACTATGCCACGATACTTCAACTAGAGGAGCGACCAGTTGGTTCACCAGACCCCAACCTAGCATCACACTTTCTAGAGACAAAAGTATGGAACTCCTCCCAAAATTACATTATTCGAGCCAAAAATGGCCGTTAGTGGACTACCTCCACGTTTTAAATGAGATGGTCACACATTTAAACATGATATCGGATCAGGCAAAGACCATGGATTCAAGTCGTATATATATAAACAAAAATTATGCGATTGGTCCATGAAAAGAATATGATTAAGCAAACTTGCTAGATTCTTGTACTTACCATTTTTGTTGATGGAGTCACAGAAAAAAGGGATGATCCTTTGAGGTACATCATCAGAGAAATTGATGGGCTTAGATTTGGCTTCATTGAGTTTATTTGTAAGCTCTTTCAAATCTCCATAGAGTAATTTGTATGGATTTCCCTTAAGACCACTCTTTCTTAAGTATTTCTCAAGTTTTTTTGGCCTAAACCATGCCCAATTCAACACTTTCCATGTGTAAATTACTAACAAAATTGCAACACAAGTTGTTGCTATCATCTCTACTCCCACAAGTGATAAGTACTCCATATTTAAAAAGGCTTCTCTCAAGTACTCTTTTCTCTTATATATATGAAACATAAATTAAGCATATCCAGACATCTCAATTCATCTTACTGTGTCAGTTGAACACTTGAATTAACTTACAAAAAAATGATCATCTAGACACTTCTAAAATTTATGTGTTACATAATTGTCGGGGTGTCCATGAGACACAATGTGGACGACTTGTGATGTCTAGATATGCATTTTCAAAATTAAAGTGATTCACTATCTATTGAGACCAAGTTAAAGATAGTTTATATGTATTATGCTTTTCTATTATATCAACGACAAGATGGGGTATGTATTTGATGAATTTTCCACAACTAATAAAGGTGTTTGTCCCAATTGGTTAAATTTGTGGACTTTTATAGGATGATTGATTGACAAAATATAGACTAGTGCGTGAACGAGGGGCAAGACTTTTCCATGATTTTGAATTTCTTACCTTGTATTTTTTTTCTAGTAAACAGGAAAATTCAATAAGTTGTGAGAACTATATTTTCATCAATTCTTATACAATCTTATCAAACGAGCAAATCAAAGTTCATAAATAAGATATCAAAATATCCTAAGGTGTAACATTAATAAATCACATATCTCCATATTCTTTTAATAAATAAATGTTTGTGATTATAAATTGCAAATACACATAATTTTATAAAGACTAGTTTTTGGACACGTGCTTCACACGTGTGTTCCATACAAGTAGTTCATACAAAATAAATCATATAAAAAATACATTGTAATGAATAATAAAATAAAGTGAAAAAGTACAAGCTAAAATATATTTAAATGACTTCTTCTTTGAACAATATTAGATAATTAAATATTATTTGAAAATACAAAATTAAACAACTAAATTTATCTAGAGAGGTAAAATGTATAATGAATTATATTTTGAGCAACATTTAATGTATTGATATATTACATGATACTCTTTCATAAGTAATGTTTTTGATGTGTATTCCATTTGTTGTTTTGATTACCGATTTCAACGGTTAGAGTAGTTTCATTCATCCACTTTAATTATATAATTAGAAAAACATTAATAAACATATATCACCAAAATATTATATATGAATACCTATTCTATTTCATTTATCCACTCCTTTTTTACCAACTTCAGCAAATTTAAGGTATCAAAAATTAAAGTTTCAAACAATTTCAAGCTAAGCAAAGACTCAAAGCTAATGGTAAAGGTATGACATATAAGAGGACCAAAAGTCAATCTCTAACACTTTTATGTCAATACATCAGTTTGATTTTAACTCATAAATATGAATATAAGAAACATTGATAATTTATAAAACTTAAAACTCATAAAATATTATATAAACAAGAATAATATATTTTTACGAACACGTTCAAACAGCTACGTACAACCATTGTTATGAGATTCATATATTGCAAATACAAAAAAAATTAAGAAAAAGAATGAACAAAAATTACACAAGAAAATGTTTTGTTGAGAAAACATTGTATTCTAAATTAGTACATATTAAGATAATATGCTATAATAAGTATAGATAGATGAACAAATATAGCATGTAGAAGCTTCAATCAAACTAATAAATGTTGGAATGTGAAAAGGTTGTATTCTAATTAATATTGAGGAAACTTGCTACTATAATAACTACTGGCAGATGAACCATCTATTGCTTATCCGGTTCAATGCATATGATTATTAATAAGTTTTATATTTTAAAATTATAGTTGTTGGACTTTTAATGTTATCTTTATATAATTAAAATATTATTATTTATTAAGATATTTGATTAAATTTATATTTAGTGTAGGGATAAAATGGTAATTCAACTTTTCATTTTGGAGCTTCCCACTTATAATAATATATGATGATTCACTAGTCAATAATAGTAGTGCCTAGTTATTTTTTAATATTATCCCTTCACATGGCACGGACAATCTCTCCACGCTGAGCATGAATTTTTTTTTTGAATAATTTAAAATGGTTGGTCTTTTTTCTTTTACAAAATATAAATTCATGGGTCAAGTTTTACATTTTTTTAAAAATAAATAAATTGAAAGCACTATTTGGAATCCCAAAATCATGTTTTTTGAAGAATTTGGGATTTGATTTCAAATCATGATCCCAAATTGCATCTTCAAATGTTGATTTGAAATCATGACTACATATCTCACAAGTTATGCTCTGCACCCTAAAAGAACTTATGTCCCACTAAACATAAACTCGACTGCGAAGGAAAAAAAAACAAATAAAAATCAACCCATTTGAAAAAAAAATGCAATTAAAGGAACTATTGTCCTCCACCAAAATGTTAAACATACAAGGAAAAATAGGAGATTTGAGATAGAGCACAAACCATATCAAAAGCTAAAAAACTTTGATAACATTAACCAAACTACAGTTAATGTTTGAATTCGAAACATGACTTCGGCGATCTCGCAACAATTTAGTATATCAATCATTCAAATGATGCATGTAGATCAATGTGCAACGCCAATGTCATAAAATATCATCTTAAAGTTTGTGCATTAGCAGAGGAGCACCATACTGAGGATGAATAGTCACCACTGCAAATGGAGCATGTGTATATGATGGTGAGAGTTCAAAAGAGAACCTTTGTAGTATCATTGCTATCGCCATTTTTGCTTCCATCATTGCAAAGTTTTGTCCGATGCAAACACGCGGTCCCCAACTAAATGGGATAAACGAGACTTGTCCTTTTGTTGCCTTTGACACTCCTTCACTGAATCTTTCTGGTTTGAATTCCTTCGCGTCTTCACCCCATATCTCCTTATCATAATGTATTAGGATTGCGGGTATAATGAGTTGCACTCCGGCTGGTAGATTTAGCTCCCCCAATTTCACTTCCGCTTCAGTCCTTCTACCAGATGATGGCAATGGAGGGAATAGCCTTAACGTCTCGTACAAGATCATCGTTACCTAAAATAAAACACTACAAGTCAAATTCAACACATAAAAATGGTTTCCAACACTTAATGTATATTAACTAATCTCAATTAGCTAAGCCAATCAGGCTCCAAGTCCACTTCTTGTCTCAACAGTCCTATCGAATAACTATATTGAGGACATAAAACGTACTCATTAAAAGATTGGAAGAAAAGAACTTGCGAAAAGTACTTACAATTTTCAAGCGATTTAGTCCTTCTAAATCTGGTTTATTATTTCCAAAGACGTGCAACACCTCCTCTCTGGCACGTACTTGCCACTCTGGATGTAAGCAGAGCAAAATCATTGTCCATACGAGTAACACTGAAGTGGTCTCTTGTCCAGCAAAATAGAATAGTTTGCACTCGTCTACCACGTCTGATCTAGTCATTCCAAAATCTTTTCTACCATGAAGTTCAATTTCTTTCATATTGGATTCAAGTAATATGCCCAATAAGTCATCTTTACTAGTCTCCCCTCCTTCGATTGCTCTCAATCTTTTGTCAATGATACGCCTAATTGTCGTTTGTATTTCCTTTTCAATTTTCAGCATTCTTCTGTTCATTTTAGTAGGCAAGAACCTATATAAACAAAGTTATTCAAATTACAAGAAAAGTCTTTCAGTAGAAAAATTGTTAAGGATCAGATTTTTCATATTTAATTACAGAGAGATTTTGCAAGCACAAAAGAAAGTGTCGAACGTGGAAATGTGATGTACATAAATTGTTGTACCTTGATCCTGGTATATGAATTGAACGTGCTATTCTGATTACATACTCAGCTTGTTCGTTCTGAAGTTCAAATACTGTTCTTCCTTCTTCATAGCTACTCCCAAATGATGTACGACATATGACTTCACTGGACATTATTTGAAGGTCTGGCCATACATCGAGTTCTAATGATGTTCCCTTTGGAACAATTTCCTCCCATTTGCTTAGCATTTCACTACAACTCACATAAAATGCTGGCAGCATATGCTGTAAACATATGAAAAAACCAACAACTATAAATGGATAACTTCTTAATGTTTAAGGCATCTAAATAAGCAAATACTAAGTCGCGCAGGAAAATTTACCATGTTTTCTAAATTCTAAATTTGGTTCTCCCTATTATTAAATTAGTTTTCTTACTTCCGTTCTAAGTCAGTTTAAAAAAGAACGCTACTTTCTATATTTAGTAATTCTTCAATTCCGATATCCCACATGGCAGGTTTCAGACTACAAGATTATTATGGTACAATATACACATATTTAGTTTAAGCCTACAAGTTTCCCTTATTTTCATAAATATCGTCTATGTCCAATCAAACTACAACAACAATAACACATTCACTATAATCCCACAAGTAGAATATGGGCATGATGGTTGTTGAAGTTTGCTTTTAGTTACTGCAGTAACTTTTAGCAAAATAAGTTGTTTAGTTTGAATAAATTTGAATTTTGAATTTTAGTTAGTTTGTTTATGTTGTTGAGATATTTTAGGTTGTTTAAATTTTAAATTATGCAAATTATGTTTTTTATGTTGGCTATTTAAATCCATTCAATGCTTAATAAAATTATTGAAAGCTATTGAAAGTCATTTCAATCCATTGAGAGACATTTTCAATCTTTTTGTGCTGCCCCATTTTTAAAAAACACCAACAATGGTGTATACACAGAAACTTACCCCTACCTTGTGAAGGTAGAGAGGTTGTTTTCGAAAGATCCTCAGTTCAAATATAACAATTCAAAACAAGTTCGAAAAGGAAATATAATAGTAAAGAAAGTACGTTGAAAATAATGGAGAAAAGAACATCAACAACAAGAGTAATAAGTAGGACCTTCAACTTCTCTACGTGGAAGGCGGGATTGATGGTTTTTCTGTGTTTGGCCCATTTGTCTCCCTCAATATTTGCTAGACCCTGAGCCAATAACTTGGTCATTGGATTGGGATGATTTTGCTTTAGATACGCATAATTCTTTGTGAAAATTTCTTTTACATGTTCAGGGTCTGTGATCAACACTACTGGATATGGGCCTAGCCACATAAAAGAATTTTTACCTGCGAGTAATCACTTTAATTTTTGGTTAGTAAAATCTAAAATCTCGAGTTTTTGCTACTTCATCTACCTCAATTTATGTGGCACACTTTCCTATTTAATGTCCCAAAAAGAATGACATATTTCATTATTTGAGAAATATTTAATGACTCTATCAACATTTTATCCACGTTGGATCTCACTTATTTGGCAAAAAGACCCACAAAAGATGTTCAATATTTCTT